CCGGGTCCTGCTGCCTCCCCCTCCCACCGGGTCCTGCTGCCTCCCCCTCCCACCGGGGGTTGGGGTTGGGAACTACTTATTGTGGCCTTATGCCCCTGAGAGCTGCTGCTTCAGTAGAATTGGCATTTCACCCTAGCCTAGCCTAGCCTGTTCATCTGCACGGGAGGGCTGCAGCTTGGCGGAGCCCCTGCAAGGACTGCAGGACGCCCGGCTCAATCCCCAGCACCTGCATCTTAACACAGACCATTGAGGAGGTAATAGGAGAGCCACCCGATACCCTTGAGGAGCAGCTGCCAGCCAGAGTTGGCACTGTGGGGCTAGATGGATGCATAATCTAACCTGGGGTAGCAGCTGGCTATGTTCCTCTTCACCTTTCCCCCACCCCGATTCTCCCCCTTCAACCTCTGGGCATTTCCAGCATTCTGTTGCCAGGACTGTCTGTCTGTCCCATTTATACTGGCGGTCACAACTCCATGCGGTCACAAGTCCTGCAAGCTGAGCCAGGCCCTCTTTGTCCAGAATGTCTAGTATCCAGGCGAAGATTGTCCTGTCTGTTGGGGTTCCAGTCTACTGCTGTTAGTTCCCACACTTTTCAGACCACCACCCCGATCCTCTGATGTCCAGGGGCATATTCATACGAAATGGCGATGTGAGAATGCAGCCTTCAATATTTTAATCAAGTGCATGGCTCCATGAGGCAGATGCAGAAATGGAAGTTCCACATGCTGTGCATCATGCGCTTCCTCGCTCTCTTTTCCAGGGAGAACTGATCACCTTCTATTACTACTGGAAGAAAACCCCCGAAGCTGCAAGTTCCCGGGCTCACCGCAGGCATCGGAGGCAGGCTGTGTTTCGGAGAATCAAAACGCGAACAGCTTCCACTCCAGTTAACACTCCCTCCCGCCCCCCCTCCAGTGAATTCTGTAAGTAGGAGGCTGAAAGTGCTGCATTTATCTCTGTTTAGATGCATGGGGGCTAAAACAGAAGGTAATGGCTCTCCGCCTCTGACCGAACGCAGCCAGGAAAATGGAGTTCGAGCCCTCGGCTGGGCTCACGCTGTCGATTCATTATCCCCACGGATGGCAGGTGTCTGGGATCAGTGAGCAATTGGTTTTGTGCTGCGCGGGAGGGAGCCCAGGCAAAACGCCACTCTGAAAACGATGGCAGCGTTGCTTTGGCTATTACCTTTGCTCCCATTTGCATGGGGATACCGCAATCGCCCCGACCTGACATTGAACAAGAGACCCCACACAGGACCCCGTGCAGTCGAGTGCCCAGGAAATGTGTCACGGCTGCTCCTATCTGTACTAGAAACTGAGCCACATCTCCGCAAGAGCACCAAAAAGACCCAGAATCTAGCCTTGGGTACCGAATTCCACTTCTGATGAATTTCTGCTCGCTTGCTTGCTTTCTAAATGATGTGCATGAAAGTTGGATAGATGAGGGCAATGCCTGCTGAACATCTCAGAAACGAATGGGGTGGTTGAAAAAGGTGCCTCATGGTTGGGATGGGGGGAGTGGAGCACCGGGGCCCTCCTCAGTTCTTGGCCTCTTCTCACAACTGCCAGCGTTAGAACATCCCATGCATAAGGACGCTGTATTTGCAGGGCGATGGAATTCAGCATTTTTCGGCTCCAGGCTGGTTGAAACACAATCTTAGTTACATTTTTTATTCTGCTTTTCAGCAAGAAGCTTCTAAAATGTCACACCAAAGATTGAAAAAACAAATTAAAATGCTAAAATAAGGCAGAGGTTAACAGGCAAAACAGAAAGTCAGAAAAACATTATAAAAGATGGACTGAAACGGCAGCAATGTTTGGTATTCAATGTTTGGAAGAAGAGAATTGTCCTCACTGTGGATAAGGACTCAGGGAAGGACACAGCTTGCAAGAAAGGGAGTTCCAGACCCTTGTCCTTTGTGCTCCCCCTGGAGAGCTTTAGCTGGGCAGTCGTGTCCTTTAGGTCTGCACAGGCTCCACAGTACACCCATTTTGCGTAAGGCCTGGGAACCCATGTGTAGCCGGAAAGAGCAGGTCACATGTTCTCCATACCAGCCTCTGCTCTCATCCAGGCAGTAGCGTTTGGCTCCCGCGGAAGCTGGCGCTGCAGTGAAGCCTGCCGCCTCCCGAGCAGAAGGGGTGCTGCAAGCGCCGTAGGACGGGGGCATCGCCGGAGGGTGCCCCGTCTTGCTCGCCTGAGCGATCGCTTGGACAGGTCCCCTTCAGCCATGCGCAGGGCAGATGGGTAACTGCGAGAATAAGGCAGCTTACCTCTCCGTGCAGAGAGCAGACGATGCTCTTCCTGGGACCATTCCTGGCGGGGGACCCCTTGGGCGAGGTCGAAAACCCAGGCTGTTTCTGCACTAAAACGTTCCATGCTAAAACCTCCCGCCCTGCCAGCCCACATTTTGCTCCCGGGGAAGCCTGTATTGATTGTGCAAACTAGTCGGCACTGCCTTCATGTTTTGCGTGATTTTATGTTGCGCCGGTCGGTCTCTGTCAGCCCAGCCATTTTTCTTTTTCCTGCATCCTGTCCGCTTTATCTGCTGCTCATACTCGGCCTCCTGAGATGTTCGCCTTTCTTCCCGCCCCGGGGGGAACCGGCGTCCTTGGAGGTACTTCACAGTGTCCCGGGCAGGCTGCCTGCATGTTTTAAAGCGCTCCCTTCCCGAGGCTGCAGAGGGGGCCACACCAGTGCTGAAGGACAGCCTGTGGACCCGAAGAGAAGGAAGGATGCGCCTTTCTGCCGGCTGCCTGGTGGACATGGGCTTCCTGTTGCCAGTGAGCGCTTCCCAGTCCCACTACTGGAGCCAGTTTACTGGAGCCAGTTTCCTGGAGCCGTGAACGGGTGTCTAGTGACAAAGTCACATCTGCCCATTAGAGCAAATGAACACACACCCACATACACGCTCACAGGGGAAGAAGTTTATTGTGTTGGAAGCTTTGTGGACTGGAGCCCCGTCATTGGCTGTCCCAAGCAGCATCCTCAGAGAGCTTATATACCTGGGGATGTGAGGGGAACTGCAGGTCTCGAGGGGTTTGCTGCCTTCTTCCTCTCGCCTCCCCATCCGTCTGTGGGCACCTGTTCCACGCCTCCCCCTGCCCTGCTGCCCCGTATATCTGATGGGGCAGTCTCCGGGCTGCAGAAGTCCTGCCATGATACCCGTTTTCCCCTTTCTCTCTCAATGAACGGTTGTGTGGCTGCTGCTGATGGTGCAGCAAAAAGAAGAGGGGAACCTCCTGACTCAGTAACGTGCTCTCCTCCCCTTTCTCTCGCCCTCCCCACCTCTGCGCATTCAGTGGACTTGAGCTCGGCCAGCGAGGATGACTTCGACAGCGAGGACAGCGAGCAGGAGCTGAAGGGCTACGCCTGCCGCCACTGCTTCACCACCAGTAAGTGCCCTCCTGCACCCGACGCGTGCCCTCTCTGTCGCCGCACCCGAGTTGCCTCGAGGGTCCCGCGTGGAAGGGGCATTTTCCTAGGTCCTGGCGGGCATTTCGTAAGCGGGGCACCCGCACTTGGCCTGCAGCTAGTCTGCAAATACTCATTTTCATCGTTCGCATTCACGCGGCTGTCCTAAACTCCCACAGTTTGGCACGTGGCTTCTGGTTGTAATCCTTACCACGTCCCTTTGGGGTGGGTTAGCGCTAACATCCTTCTATTGCTGTGCGAAGTAGTACACAAGGTAGGCATGGTGAGTCCGGGAGGGTAACTGAGGGAGGGGGGTGGTGAGAGGGGCTGGCTCAGAGAGCCGGTTCCCGATTCCGAAGACCTGAACCCAGGACCATTCGTTTGCCCCTGCGCTGAATGCCCTGTCTCCGTCTTTCTGACCGCAGCCTCCAAGGACTGGCACCACGGTGGGCGGGAGAACATTTTGCTGTGCACTGACTGCCGCATCCATTTCAAGAAGTACGGAGAGCTTCCGCCCATCGAGAAGCCAGTGGACCCGCCTCCCTTTATGTTCAAGCCTGTCAAAGAGGAAGATGATGGACTCAGCGGGAAGCATAGCATGAGGACAAGACGGAGTCGGGGCTCGGTAAGACGCCTCCTTGCTGTCTCTCCACTCTGGGTCTCCGTGCACAAATGCACGCTTCGTCTCTCGGGCAGGACCGGGGCGGTTCACGAAGGCAGGCCACAGGATGCGCACATGTGCGCTTCCTCGAGCGGGGACGCCCTTCGGTGTTTGCATCTGCCACATCTCTGCACGTTGACGCAGCAGCCATTACAAAATGCATCTTTCAGGGAGCCTTGCCCGGCCTGGGCTGCCACTTCGGAGACCATCTGCCAATACAATTCATTTCAGTGTTTCCCTTTATTCCTAGGAGTAGCTAATTCATATCCTGCAAATGAGGGGAGCGTTCAAGCCCAGTAGTTGAGGGCAAGTGTGCAAAAGGTGGCATTTGTGGGCAGGAAGCCTGAAATCAGTGGCTTTCATGTGGGGAAGGTGGCAGGAGGCAGGGGCACCTCTCTTCCCGGTCCTCTGGAGCCTTCAGGCACAGCTGCCTTTTCCCCACCCATCCCGAGTGTGCGACAGGCAGCATCATTCTCGCTCAGAATTGCCTCTGCTGGGGTCATCTCAGGGTAGAGCCTTGAAAATTGAAGGTTGAATGTTGCTTGAAAATGACTTCTGGTTTTAGGGCTCGGATAAATTCTGGCACGAGGTACCAAGTATTTCCCCCGTGTACACCGTCCTCCCTCTCTGCGGCTGAGCACAAATGATTCTGCCTTCAGTTTCATCCCTATCAAAAGCCTACATGTCCCTGGACAGCTTTTCCCCGCATCTGGAGCCCTGGTTATCATGTGGCAGGTCGGAATAGCACATGCGAACAAGGCTAACTGTTACCGAGAGGGTGTCTCTCCCGCGCTTAGCTGTCCGGGGGGTTTTTGTTGCAGTGTCCACCCTGGACGGCCACCCTGCCCCATTGCCTCCCACCTCCCAGATTTCATTTCCTTGCCAGAAATACTTTTTTGAACTTCTTTTAAAGGAGGATAGGATTGGACAATTCTAGCTTGAGAAGAAGTTAGAGACATAGAAACAGAGCGAGTCAGAAGGGGCCTTCTGGGTCATCTAGTCTGACCCCCGGCTCCAGCTGGCTCCACTCAAGACATGCCTATTATGCACATGTCTAGCCTATCCTTGAACACCATCACCCATTGAAGCCTCTGTAACAGCAACCCTAGCCTCCCCCCCCCCCCCCCCCCCCCCGCCCAAGTGATGTCGTAGTGAGGTGATTACAGCCAAGGCTGGTCAGGGCAGAGACTTGGCTTCCAGGCTGCCCAAAGATGCTCCATCAATCCCAGGCTCGTCTTCCTCCTCTGACAGGAAGCAAACCAAGGCCAGGTACAAACCTGCTTTCTCTTGACCGGAGGCTCCAGGGATCGAGCGCGCGGCCTTCTGCCAAGCCGCCGTCTCTGTGGCAGCCGCCTGTCATTTCAGAGAAGCAGCCGGGTTTGCAGCTCAGCTCGCTTGTTCCCCAGAACCACTTGGACGGTCTTTGCGTGAGCACGGCCTGCCCCCTCCCAGCAGATCTGGGCAGGCGCTCCTTCCTTGCATCATCGCTGGGCGTGGCTGTTGGGAGTCCATTTCTGGCACTCCTTCTCATGCCGGTGGGTTGGCGGCGGCTGCGTTTCTTCTCCGCTTGCCAGCCCCATCAAATGTGTGTTGGAGTAAGAGCTGCCAGGCGACTCCTCAGTTCACACGGTCAGTTCCTTGCTGCAGTTTTGTCGTTTTGACGATACCTGGCTATGCAAGCAGCTGGCGACGAGGAAGAAAGCAGAGGAAGCAGTGTTAGTTGTCGTCGTGTAATTTTTCTGGTAGAGCAGGAAGAGGGGGAAGCCATTCCTGGCTTTAGAAAGAGCCCTGGACTCCTGCCGGATACTTTCCCCCTTTTTCATTCTGATTTTCTGTGCATACACATCTTGGACTATTTCAGTGCATTTTATTTAAATAATCTCTTGTGCCGAAGTGTTTGATAAGACAGAACATATTATATGGGTGTAGCAGCGGTTGGTTTGAACCAATCGGAGAGAGAGTGAGTGACACCGGCAGGGCATTAAACTAGGGAAAACAAGTATTTTCTTCCGGTGGCTGCATTGGAGTGTTGTGAGGAACCCCGGGCAAGACCACATCGTCTGACCGGCTCTTCGAGCGTCCTGTTTTCCATCAGACCCGGATCATTTGGAACGAGCAGCAGGAAGACTTTGCTCTGTGCCAGAGCAGCTGTTGGGCTCCCAGGCTGGGTCTGCTGGTTTGAGGAAAGATAAGCCGAGTCAGAACAAACGGCTTGAATTAGCCGACCCAGTAAGGGCAGGCAGGAAGCCTGAGAACCCAGGAAGTAAAACCGGCCCTCCGGGTTTCCCCACATTGGCCACGCCCTTTCCCACCCCCTTTTCATAGCACCCTGAAAGTTTGGAGGTTTCCTGAATTTCATTCTAAAAGGTTGAAATGTCTCCCCTGGGGCTTTGGCATTGGCAACAAGAGCTTAATGCTGCAGTAGGGGGGCGGGGGGTTGGCCTGACTGGAATGCAGGTCCCCAGGAGCCCCTCAGCAATGGAATTCAGCCCAGTGAGCTCCCCCCTCCCCGTGGTTGTGGAGTGCATAATGCCATTCCTGCGATGACACCCCCACTGCGATGGCCGTTGTGGCGTGAGCCCTCGGGAGCCGCCTCTAGTAGCTTCCCCGGGATGATCCCCACTGCCCCATACACGGGTGCGAGCGAGCGAGCTTCGATGTCCTCTCGTGCCCCCTGAACACCACAAGAAGCATCTTAGGGAGACTTTGCAGCACTTTCCTGTGGGCTACAGGTGGCCCTCCCTGTATTTCGGCCTACAACTCCCCTCGCCCCTCACGATGGGTTGTCCGGGCTAGGGCAGATGGAAATGTAGGGCGAACCCCTGCAGGCGAGAAGCTGCCCACCTCTGCTGCAGGTGATTCTCGGAGCTGTGGGGAGAAGAGGAGGAGGAAGGGACTTGGTGGACCCACACTCTTTCGGTCCTGCTGTCTCCAACGAGTAACTAAGGCGAGTTTCTGACCCAGTCCTGAAAGGCCTTGGTAGGAAAACGGCCAGTCCAGCGCTGCCTTCAAAAGATGCCCGGCCGAAGGTCACATAGCACGCATCCCTGGAAGCAGCCTTTGTCACACTTTGTGTATTTCTCTCTAAACCAGCAGATGTCTACCCTACGCAGTGGTCGTAAGAAACAGCCCACCAGCCCTGATGGTAGAGCCTCTCCCGCCAACGAAGACATCCGATCCAGCGGCCGCAACTCTCCCAGCGCTGCCAGCACTTCGAGCAATGACAGCAAGGCAGATTCGGTGAAGAAGTCCACCAAAGTGAGTTCGGGCTGCTCTGACGGACCCTGACCAAAAGTAAAATGCAAACTGCCCAGTTAATATCGACAAGGAGCCTTTACTAGGCAGGGATGCAAGAAGCTTTGTCTGTTCCCCTGGCACTTCTCCATAATAATTCCTTTTTGTCTGTGGCAGAAGATCAAAGAAGAGACATCGTCACCTCTCAAAAACTCCAAGAGGCAGCGAGAAAAGGTGGCTTCCGACACGGAGGAGCCCGACAGAATCAATGCCAAAAAAACCAAAACACAGGTATGTTCGGTTCGAGCAGCTTCCCCAGCCCAGCGCCCTCGGGAGGCACTATGCCTCCGGCATCCCGGAGCGTTGGCCATGCTCGCCGGCAGCCATATGGGTTGCAGCTGAGAATGCTGGAGGGCGCCGAGTGGGGAAGGCCGAGTCAGAGCGTCAGGCAGCATGGGTCCTCACTTTGGGGGCACGGCCCAGAGCTTGCCTCGTTGTGGGCTCGGCCTTCCAGCATCTGGCTGGCCACGGCCGAAAGCAGTGCACTGGACCAGCGGGGTTCCTTTGCCCAGAACAGACGCACGATGGCCAGCATGGCTGGGCGCTCTTTGCCCACAGACAGACGGGTGGCTGCCTCCAAACAGCCCTGAAGTTCACGGCTGCCTCTGGGGTGGCTGTACCAGGGGCCGAGGCGAGGGGGGCAGCATGGAAGGCGGGTGGCTGTGGGCCCCCCAGCACCCGCCCCGGGCTCCCTTCACGGAGCCACCCAGAGACATGAGTGCCCCATGCGGCTCTTTTGTGGCTCAGCAGGCCTCGTGTGGGGCGCTGTGCTGTGCTGCATGGCCCCTGCAGTCGGCTGGGCCTGGGTTTTCTGGCTCGGGGACCAGGTCCACCCCCGGGGTGGTCAGTCGCCCAGGAGCAACTCGGGAGGTCGCCAGGTGTTCCATTAACAATCCATGGCTTTTGTATGCCGTCCTATTATACAAGATCTCAGGACGGCTCACAAGATTTAAAAAGACAATTAGAATAACAATTTCAATAAATAAAACAGAACAAAACAGTAAATCACAAAACAAACAGAGTGACTAAACTTAAAAACTATTAAATTGTAAGAAAGGTTTTCGCCTGGTGCCGCAAAGAGTATAAACCTGGCACCAGGCGTGCCTCTCTGGGGAGCACATTCCAGAGTCTGGGCACCACAGCAGAGAAGGCCCTGCTCCGAGTTGATGACCTTTTTACCTCTCTTGGAGAGGGTTCCCGGAGCAGGGCTTCTCCCGCAGATCTTAAGGGGCTGAGGGCATATAAGGAAGGCAGCCCTGGTCCCAAGCCACTTAGGGCTTTATAGGTCAAAACCAGCACCTCGGATTGAGCCTGCACTTCAACTGGAAGCCAGTGGAGCTGGTAGAGGACCGGTGTTACGTGAGAGTAACACCCGGTCCCCGTCAGCAGCCTGGCAGCTCTATTCTGCACCAGTTGCAGCATCCGGACCGTTTTCAAGGGCAGCCCCACGCAGAGCGCGTTGCAGTGATCCAAGCGGGAAGTTACCAGAGCAGGTATCACTGTGGCTAGCGAGTGCTCATCCAGGTAAGGATCAGTCAGAGTTGCAGGAAGGCGCTTGGATGAGACGGCCTCTGTTTTCCTTCCCGCAGGAGATCAGCAGGCCCAATTCCCCGTCAGAAGGGGAAGGGGAGAGCTCTGACAGCCGCAGCATGAACGACGAGGGCAGCAGCGACCCAAAAGACATTGACCAAGACAACCGGAGCACCTCACCCAGCATCCCCAGCCCCCAGGACAACGAGAGCGACTCGGACTCGTCGGCCCAGCAGCAAGTGCTGCAGGCCCCCAACGGCCCCGCCCAGCCCCCGCCCCCCTCGCTCCCGGTGCCGGCCCCGCTGCCGCTGCCCACCGCCTCCGGCGCCCCCGCCTCCGGCGCCCCCCTGGTCCCCGCCTCCGCCGCTCAGCCGCCCAGCCAGCCCCCGGCTCCCATGCCCCCCCACTCGCACATCCAGCAAGCCCCCGCGCTGCACCCCCAGAGGCTGCCCTCGCCCCACCCGCCCCTGCAGCCCCTGGCCACGCCCCAGGCGCCCCCGCTGCCCCCGCCGCACCCGCAGCCGCCCCTGCACGGCCAGATCCAGGCGTTCCCCCACGGCCTCCCCAGCCAGCCGCTGCTGGCCCACCCGGTCCCCGGCCAGCCCTTCCCCCACGCCCCGCAGCCGGCCCCCTCGGCGCCCCCCCAGCCCCCGGGGCCGCTGCAGCCGCAGGCCGTGGCGCACCCCCACGCGGCCCTCCCGGGGGCCCCCGCCCAGCCCAGCCTGCAGGCCCCCGCCTCCCTGCTGCCGCAGCCGCCCCCGCCGCCCCCCCCGGGAGCAGCCCCTCCCGCCCGCCTCCATGTCCATGCCCCACATCAAGCCGCCCCCCACCACCCCCATCCCGCAGCTGCCCACGCCGCCGTCCCACAAACACCTCTCGGGGCCGTCCCCGTTCTCCATGAACTCCAACCTGCCCCCGCCGCCCGCCCTGAAGCCGCTCAGCTCCCTCTCGACGCACCACCCGCCCTCGGCGCACCCCCCGCCCCTGCAGCTGATGCCCCAGAGCCAGCCGCTGCAGCCCTCCCCGGCGCAGCCCCCCGTGCTGACGCAGAGCCAGAGCCTGCCCCCCTCTGCCGGCCACCCGTCCTCCGGCCTGCACCAGGGGCCCTCCCAGCCCCCCTTCTCGCAGCACCCCTTCGTCCCCGGCGGCCCGCCCCCCATCACGCCCCCCGCCTGCCCCTCCACCTCCACGCCGCCTTCCGTGCCCGGCGCCCCCCCGCCAGCCGCGGTCTCCACGCCCACGGCCGGCAGCGGCCCCGTGGTGGCGCCCTGCACCGTCCCGGCCATCCAGATCAAGGAGGAGGCGCCCGACGAGGTCGAGGAGCCCGAGAGCCCCCCCGCCCCGCCCCGGAGCCCCTCGCCCGACCCGACCGTCGTCGACACGCCCAGCCACGCCAGCCAGTCGGCCAGGTAAGGGGCCTGCGGGCGAGCCGGGGCGGCTCCCTGGGGGCCTCCCAGACACCCCCCGGGGTTGGGCTGTGCGGGACGGCCAGGCGGCCACGCACTTCTCGGGTCTCCGAAGCACGGGGCCGGAGCGCTCCTGGCCTCCGAGCCCCGTCCGGCCTCCCGGCCTTTGAATAATGCTGTCGGTATATGAGTTTTAGCGCACCGTGCGCCATTTCACGAGGTCATTTTAATTACGTCTGTGGGGTGAAACGCCGTTCACACTTCCCTGATGCATTGTAACAGTTTGCATTTATGTACTATGTTCCCATCTGTGTCAGGGCAAAGTTGCACGTGTGAAGCGGCCCCAAATCTTTCCCAATGCTGCATATGTGTTTCCAAGCTTCTTCCTCTTTTCCTGCAGCTGTGACCCATAGGGTGCTGACCCTGCTCAGCCCTGTCCATGAGGACTAGTGTGTTGTCTCCCCCCCACACCCATTTTTGAAAGTGAAAGCACTCAGGTTTCCTCCTCTCTGACTTCACCTGAGCTGCCTCGCAGGAGGGTTCAGTGCTTCGTTTTCCCTGTGTTGGGAAGATCCCCTCGGCTTGGGGTCCCTGCTTTGCCCCTGTGCACGTGGTCTCATTCCCCACCTCCTCCGGCCTTCAGGTTTTACAAGCACCTGGACCGTGGCTACAACTCGTGTGCAAGGACCGACCTGTACTTCATGCCGCTGGCCGGATCCAAGCTGGCCAAGAAGCGAGAGGAGGTGATCGAGAAGGCCAAGCGGGAAGCCGAGCAGAAGGCAAGAGAAGAGAGGGAGCGGGAGAAAGAGAAGGAAAAGGAGAGGGAGAGAGAGCGTGAGCGTGAGAGAGAAGCCGAAAGAGCGGCGGTAGGTTTGTCTGTCTCTCAAGCTGGGGTGGGGGCGGGGGCGGGGACATGATCCGAGCAGGCTCCGAAATAAGTGGAGGTTTTAGTTGCCCCGCACCTCATGCGGCTTCAGTGCTTCATCCGTACGGTTTCACTGCCCTGGCATGTTCCCTGGCCTTTGCTCACCTGCCTCACCTGTTGCCTGACGCCAGGCGGCGATGGGGAAACAAGGATGTCCCAGGAAGCACCCAGTGCATTCGCTGGGGGCCTCAGGCCCACAAGGGCAATGCGTTCCTGTGCATTCTTCGTAATCCACCCAGCCGATGGGGGACTTTCGTCATACATTGATGAAAGAGCAGCCAGGAAATTAATTTCGGTAGGAGCAGGAGCTACCTGATGCCCCTCTAAAATCCCTTCTCTTTTGCTGCCAGCTGTCCTTGGCATGTTTCGGGGAATTTTCTCCAGCGCCCGCAACTCCACCCTCAGTTTCCCTAGCCTCCCTTCGGAGGGCTGTCTAAGTGCAGCTTTTGCGTAGCAGGGGCTGGCCAGGGACTGGTTTCCGGCTGCAGGTCAGTGAGGCCGGAATGACTCCCGCCTTGTTGCGAAGCAGGGACCAGGCAGAGTTTCAGCCCCGTGCCGTGAACTGCCGTGGCGGCGGCAGAGGTGCCGACCCTGAGCGTCTCCCCTTTTCTGTACCGCAGAAGGCGTCCACCTCCGCGCACGAAGGGCGTCTGGGAGAGGCCCCCCTGAGCGGGCCGGCTCACATGCGGCCCTCCTTCGAGCCGCCCCCCACCACCATCGCCGCCGTCCCGCCGTACATCGGGCCCGACACGCCGGCACTACGGACTCTCAGCGAGTACGCGCGCCCCCACGTCATGTCCCCCACCAACCGCAACCACCCCTTCTTCGTGCCCCTCAACCCCACCGACCCGCTTCTGGCGTACCACATGCCCGGCCTCTACAACGTGGACCCCACCATCCGGGAGCGGGAGCTGCGCGAGCGGGAGATCCGGGAGCGGGAGATCCGGGAGCGGGAGCTGCGCGAGAGGATGAAGCCGGGCTTCGAGGTCAAGCCGCCGGAGCTCGACGCGCTGCACCCCGCCACCAACCCCATGGAGCACTTTGCCCGCCACGGCGCCCTCACCATCCCCCCCACGGCAGGCCCACACCCCTTTGCTTCCTTCCACCCAGGACTGAATCCCCTGGAGCGGGAGAGACTCGCTCTGGCAGGCCCCCAGTTGCGGCCTGAGATGAGCTACCCGGACAGACTGGCCGCCGAGAGGATACACGCCGAGCGGATGGCGTCTCTCACCAATGACCCGCTGGCCAGGCTCCAGATGTTCAATGTCACCCCACATCACCACCAGCACTCCCACATCCACTCGCACCTGCACCTGCATCAGCAGGACCCGCTGCACCAAGGTGAGTCGGGCGGGCGAGCGCCCGCTGGGTGCCCCCCCCACCGGCGCCGCCCTGCTGGGGGCTCGCGTGACGCAGTGGGGTGCACTCTGGAGTTGACCTGGCGCTCTTCCCGTCCTTGCCACGCGTCAGTCAAACGAGCAGAATACTGAAACGGCCCTGTGGGTGAGCGTAATAAATAATAAATCTCAGGGGTGCATAGCAGGGCTCACAAAGTACTTTACGGAGTGAAATGTCGAGAAAATGGCCAGTGGGGTCAGCAAGCCTGCCCTTTCTTAGAAACGGGGCTTGTGATGGTCGTGAGTCGGAGACCCTCTGAGTTGTGACAGAAGCGATATCAGTGATGGCTCCACACCAGATTATCTGCTTGCTTCTGCTTTAGATTAGTTCCATCACCTTCCGCCAGAGATAACTTGGTTTATCACGAGTTCTGGTTTAGGGAGAAGTACATGGGTGTGTGGCCAAAGAAGCACAAAATGCGATGCGCGGGCTCTTAGTCCGGCGCTTCGGTGCAGGAAGTCTCTGCAATCCCTGTCCTCTCCGGCTGTGATAAGCTCGCTTGAGCTCGCTGTCCTCTCACATTCTGCAAAGATGTCCGGCCGTCCATCTGTCCATCGGCAGAGGATCCTGGGAGATGCCTGCCATGCGTGGTCACCAGGCAACTTGGGCGGACCTCTGGAGGTTGCCCATCCCTGCGTTGGAGAACGTTAGAAATTGGGAGCTGAGTGCATCTGTATTTCCCTGGTGCATTTGCCCCAACCAGGATGGCACAGTGTTTAAAAAGCAAAACGCTGCCTGTGTCAGAGGTGTGTAAAGGTTTCTCACTAAACGCTGCCTCAGTTCCCTTTTGCAGCTGAGGGTGAGCTGCTCAGTCAGAGCTTGGCGTTGCACTGAAGCGTCGGCTCTGCCAGGCAGCGGCTCCCTGACGTGTCGAGCGGGGTCTTTCAGGGCTGCTGCCTCGTGCTTTAACCAGGCAGGCAGGGATGACACCTGGGACCCCCCACCTGCAGCACAGGGCCCTGCCTGTTCCCTGCCACTCAGAGAAGCTGCCGCATGTTGCATCTCCCCGGCAAGGAGAGCCAAGCCCTCTACGCCTCGTGGGCTTTTCTCGCACACTTGACGGCTGACTGCTGCACCTGGAACCGTCCCCCTCTGCGCCCTTCATGCGTGCCGAGGCCGAGCGGGGGCTTGGCTTGTGTCCCTGGAGCCGCTTGGCTGGCTGCCTCTCATCCAGCGGGGCTCCGAGGGCTGTCTGCTGACTCCGTGGCTGAGCCCAGGCAGCGATCCGGCCACGTGTCCCAGCATTTCCCGTTTCCCCAGTCTGTGTGCTGGTATCGTGCTGTTGAAGGGTGCTGTTAACCGGGGCTGACCCATCTTGCATGGATGGCCTGCGTTTGCTGGACTGTGGCCCCTTTCCAAAGATGATTTGTTGGAGCCGGTGGTCCAGGACCGCAGTTAGAAGACGGAGTGGAATGGACGAAGTGTACAAAACAGGGTCCCCGTGAAGGTGCAGCTGCCACACTGTACACAGGAGTGACTTCTGCGTGAATTTAGTGCCCATGGTTTTGGTTTCTGCCCTCATCCGGAACTGTGAGACACAACCGCACGCACGGTGCAGTGAGTGGAATCGTGCAAATGGTGGTGCAGCGGCAGAAGCGGGGCTTCAGCTGCCACTGGCACACGCTGCACCTTTCTCTGCTGCGACCCATTTGCTCTCCGTTTCGTGGACTTTGCGTGTCACTGGTGGCGCAGTGCATGTGCGGCCAGTTGTGCCAGTGCGATGGACAAGCGCTTGCACAACGGACAGATTTGGAGGAGCTGCCGGAGTTTGCAGAAAGCCCTAAGGGGACAGACTGTTCTGACATGCCGCGGCTCAGATTTCAGAGCTCCTAATTAAAGCCGCCAGCCGCTGACACGTGTGCGTGCTCGCTCTGCCGCCCCGGTAGCATGAGAATTGAGGTCAAAAGGATCCGCAAAATTCTCCTCTTAATTTTCTGGGAGCCTTGAGGAAAAAGCCTGTCAGATTAGTGCCTCTCTTTTCATGTGCGAGATTCAATCATGCAAGCCTGGGAGAGGATTTGGGACTTCCACAGTTTCATTTCAAGGTTTTTCCTTCCACTTAGTGAATTATACTTTCTGAGGGGACTTTAGAGATTTTACAGGAGCAGAATTTGAACTGTGCCTTGCCAGGGCCTAACCTCAGAACTTTTCAAAGACTCTATTTAGCCCTAGAACATGTCAAGTAGTAATAACTAAGAAGATTGTTTAAGGTTTAAGAAGATAATTGTCTTCAGAAATTCCTCCCCTGCCCCCTTACACACAGACGCAGAAGATTAGGGGTAGGAGGCAGGCTTGGAACCTGGCAACACTAAACTTGAGCATCACATTTCACCAAATTGTGCCTTCGCATTTGCAGTAAGCTGTGAGGGCTAGAACCTTGGTGCTAGAGAGAGGCAGGGGGAGAGGTATTTCTCAGGCACTGAAGCCTGTGCAGAGTCAGTCCTTTTGAGCACTCAGGTGTGGAAACAGCTCTCCTGCATGTTCATTGCCTCCTTCCTGGAGGCCTTCCGGTTCTCCAGAATCTCTCTTGTCGGTGGAGTGGTGGGGTCCTTCATAGCCCAGGCTCCCACAGGTTGCCCAAAATGAGGTGAGGCAGCCCCTGTAAGAGGCGTCACTTGGGGACTGCCACCTGACTCCTTGGGAAAGGGAGAGTCAGGCCTGTTGCACATGCCCAAGCTGAAGCTGCCTGCATGTTTGTTCCTTGGCCCAGGCGTCCCGCAGGAGTGGGGTGCTGGCATTCAATCCACAGGGCTCCCGGTTCAAGCCCTATAGACCCAGTGCCCCTGAGAACACATGGAGCAAAACCCCTTCCATCTTTACAAGGCAGAGAAATAGATGGCCGAGCCCTCTCTCCGGTGAAACGGAGCTTGTTTCAGTATCTGCAGGCGTTCATCTGAGGTGAACGAAGACCTCTCTCTGCAATTTCCTTGCAGGGGGTGAGAGGCAGGAGATGGCATTTCCCTAACATGGCACCCTTCAGATGGCTCTGGACTACAGATCCCATCATCGCCCCAACCACTGCTCCTGCTGCCTGGGGCTGGTGGGAGTGGCGGGCCAGAAGATACAGAGGGCACCATGTTGGGGACGGCTGCTACGAGAAGTGTGTGTGTGTGTGTGTGTGTGTGTGTGGTGTTGGGGGGGTGCTGCTGTCCCCGGAGAGGCGGAGCAGTGGACAAGTGGGCTGGAAAAAGCGATGCTCAGTCTGCGCAGGAACAGGTTGGCCCCGACCCCTTCCAAGCCGGAGGGCAGCCCTTTCCAGGCGGGATTGTGCTTTCCCTGAAGGACTAGCCGGTGGGCTCGGGGAGTGAGTTCCTCGGCAGACGCGGCAAGGCCTTTGTGCAGCGGGGTCTGTAGCCAGCGGCACCCTCTGCCTGAGTCGGAGCCCCTCAGTGCGCCGCTCTCGCATCAAGAACCGGCAGGCCAGGAGCTTGTCGGGCGCCACGTGGGGCTGGCGTGGAAGACTGTTGGGAAGCTTCCGTTGGCCCCGAGCACGGCAGCTGGGCTGGTGCAGGAGGCCATGTTTACACTTGCCCTTTCAAGAACTGCTCCGGCTACCAGGAGCCTTTCAAAGTGCTGGTTTTCCAAGCGCTGCTCTGCATTAGCCTGGACCCTTGTTACCCGAAGGAGCACCGCCTCGCTTCCCCTTGCCCCAAAACCATCTGCGGGAGCTGGGAGAGCATGCAGCCAGCACATGGGTGTAACTTGTGCCTCGTCGAGAGGGAACGGCCATTGTCTTCCGTTAGGAAAGTCGCACATACTTCCTGTTAGAAGAGTTGTATCCCTCTTGTGAAAAGCAGCTGTGCAGATCTTTTGTGGTAATTTTGGACTGCTGTTTGGACTGCTGCACTATGAATTTGGTGGGGAGCGGAGCAGAAATCTGCCGCACCCTCCACGGTAAACAGATTGCTGTCGTTCTCTCACGCAGTTCCCTTTTTCCTTCTTGACATGAAAATTCATGGCTGTCCTTTTCTCCCCTTTTGTTTTAACCGTGAAAGACTGTTTGACAGCCAAATGCTACTTCAGACACCCCAGAGAGGTAGGCTCTGCAGTTGGAGGGGCGGCATAGGCTTCTGATAATTACCAGTTCCGCTTAGTGCCATGCAAGTATTAATGCTGCTTTTGATCCCTGGAAGGAGCAAGGTTTTCTAAACAGGTGGCAAATGTGTTTGCTTCCCTCCCCGCCTTCTCCTCCCCGCCACACCCTTCGCTCTTGCAGGCTCCGCGGGACCTGTGCACCCCCTCGTGGACCCCTTGGCAGCCGGACCGCATTTGGCACGCTTCCCCTATCCTCCCGGCACGCTCCCGAACCCGTTGCTAGGTCAGCCGCCCCACGAGCACGAAATGCTGCGGCACCCGGTCTTCGGTAAGTGCGTGCCAGTGGGGAAGAAAGCTGGACAGCTCGGAGCTGACCGGCACGCCCTGCCCCTGCAGACGGCATGCTAGCAGAGGGCCTGAAGCGCCTTGCTCCTCTTCCTCCCCGCAGGGACCCCGTACCCCCGCGACCTCCCTGGCGCCATCCCCCCGCCGATGTCGGCCGCCCATCAGTTACAGGCCATGCACGCTCAGTCCGCGGAGCTGCAGAGACTAGCGATGGAGCAGCAGTGGCTTCACGGGCACCCCCATATGCACGGGGGCCACCTGCCCAGCCAAGAGGACTATTACAGGTAAGAACGGGGCCGCCGCCAGCGCAGGGGGGACGCCTCCAGTGCCCACTCCCCTTATACCTGCCTCTTCTTGGCTAGCTCCTTTCTCACTGCGGCTGCAGAAGGGCCTGCGCTGGCAACCGGGAGAGGCAGATTCTGGAAGCAACAGGCACTGGAGGCACCCGGCCCACCACGGGAGTTGTATGTATCGAGCCACACGCTTGCTTCCTGCCCCGTCCCCCTCAGGGTTCGCCGTGCCAGCGATGTGCTCTGGGAGAGCGCTGTGTGCTCTCGGTCTGTCCCTGTGGAGGTGGGGCTTGTTTTTCTTCTTGCTAAGAGCTGAGGGGCCTTCCTGGCCTTCATCCCAGGCAGGGCCAGGAAACGCACCTATTATTCCATGCTTCCAGGGCAGGCAGGCTTCCGAGCACCGGAAAAGACTGGTCAGGGCCAGACTTCGGACACTGGGCAACATCATGTCACAAATCCAGATCAGTTAGGAACTTTGGAAGCTGTCGTATTCTGGATCCGATCCTCGGTCCAGCTAGTATTGGCAAAGGCTCTCCAGACCTTGGGCAGGAGTATTCCCTGGCGCTGCCTGGAAACACTCGGGCTCAAACCCAGAAACCCCTTCTGCCTGGCCTCACTCTCCTCCTCTTCTCTTGCAGCCGGCTGAAGAAAGAAGGCGACAAGCAGTTGTAATAAATTATTTATTTGTAATGCTTGCTACAGAAGATCCCGGTCATGGGGAAGAAACAGAATGTGTTTACCTGCACACAAGAACGGCAAAAAGCAAGAGAATTGTCTTCTAAAGATCTCTTTCTCTATTTAAAATGGGAAAAAACCCAAGGAAGCCCAAGACACTAGAGACCTTAATCAGCACACATAGTATTCATTGGTAGGGAAGATTTCTCAAGACCGGTCTGGGAATCTCCTTGCATGAGAAAACCTGTTAAGAAGCCTCTGGTGGGGAAGGAAACACGCAAAAACCCACCGCATGGGACTGGATGAGAAATTCAAAGAGTTTTCTTGGGCACTCTTGGGGGTTTGGTTTTTCGGGTTCCTTTTATTTTTCATTTTGAGTAGGTGCTAGAATCAGGTTCACAACTTAATGCAAGCCACTGTGCATAAAAATACACTCGATTTATATAAATATATATATATATACTTTAAAAAAACAAGAATTACAAGTAGGTGGCATAACAACCTCTGAAAATCCAAGTGCTATAACAAGAATTTTAAAAGAAAATCTACTTTTATTTTAATACATTGTAGGAAAACTTCATAATTTTAAAGAGAGCTTTGCAGCATGGCTTTTTAAGTCTGTAAATAACTTTTACGAGTTAGGAGTTAAAATGATTATTACAATCTCCACAAACTCCTGATTTCTTCTCCTCCGCCCCCTTCCACTTTCAGTAACATCACAAAATAGTTACTTCTTACCTGGTGTTGACAAGAATACAGAGTTGATTTTTTAATATAAGAGGAATATATATAATATCCCTTTAATTAAAGGGAAGACGACGAGTGGGCGAGGGTGAGTAATTTCAGATATGGGCAAGAGCTTGGCTTTATGGTCTGGTAGCAGCATAAGCATTAAAGGGAGTTGCAGGGATAATGTTAAAATGTTTCCTTTTGTGTGTATGTGTTCTTTTTAATTTAATTCCTTTGTTCCACGAGCATCCCAATCGCTTTCTCTTCTGGTTGCTGGTTTTGTCATGATCCAGGCGTCCAACGGGTACATGGCAGCACATTCCTGCTCTGGGGTACATGGTTGAAGGCAAAAGCAGAACCTGCCATGGTAGCAGCTTTCAAAGAACGAGCTCTTTCGGCCCAACTCAGGGGTATCCCCAGCACCACTTTGAAAGTTTACTCACTACTTCTTCTTCCTCAGTGTTGTATTGGTCTGAAAACAGTTCTTGAAAACTTGGGCTCCCCCTTCCACCCACCTTTCGTAGTAGTGACGATCGTCTGGTGAAGTTCCTTTCCATCGGCTTTGACTACAGAACCCATCCATGGAAGGCGGGGCTCCTGCATTCCCTTCCTGTCTTCCGGTGCCATGTGTGGGGGGGGGGGGTGTGAGGTGTATGTCTCCTGTGTATGGAGAGAATAAGACGGCTCTTGCTACGTGATATCGCCCCATCCAACGGAGGCATTAGAGCTGCTAAGCTTGGACGTGTGGCCATTTTAATAGAAAGCAAGATGTCAGAGAAACCACCTTTAAAAAAGAGAATTTAAAATAGCATATGCACATTTAGGTTTTGCCGTTTCTGTCTGTCAACTTTTTTGAAAGAAAGGATAGGTGAAGGGGCTCTTGAGCAGCCATGAGTTCTCATCCTGCTTTCATGGTGGCAAAGCTTAAATTTAAAGGTTGAAGGTCCTCTGAGTTTCCGGAGTTTGCTTTTAGCAGGTCTGATATTTTTGCTTTGCTGGCAGAAGACTCGGGGAAGCAGCAACCCGGGCCTTACCTCAAGGGCACAATTGGCTAGGAAGGTCCTGGAGTCCACATGACTTCGTCCAAAACCTTATCCTGAATCCTTAGTGGGGTACGATAGGGTGGAGTAAAAGACTGTGAGTGGCTGGGTGTGTAACCCACATCATGTATCTTGCCCACCTGCCCGGTGCATTACCCTGTGCCCGTTGTCAGGTCCCTGCTCTGCAGCTTGCAAGGTGGAGGGACCAGAAAGGCTGAGAACGGGGGCACATCTTCTGTCGGTAACGGTCAAAGCAAAAAGCTTGTGACAACTGTGTGAAACCTGTTTTTATACCCTTTGATACAGGAGTGAGACTACACAGGTGGCCAGTTGCGTTCTTTCCGTTGGTTCTCTCCACCATAATATTTTTTATTCTCTTTCCTCTTCAGGGGAGTTATATCTTTTGCTCTGAAGACTCCTGTCTGTGGTGGTCCTTTGTAGGACTCCATAGGGCTGGTTGGATAACCTGGTAACTAATCACGTTACTGTTTCCGCTGACGCAGGGCATGTACAATTTTCAGATTGGCCCAAGAGAACACTGGGTTCTTTCTACCGTGGTCTTCCATCGCTCGGTATCCTGTCTTTTTTGGGATCCAAACAAGCATTTTCCTGGTGGGCTATACCCAGAATGAGTAAGGTTGCCCTCGGAACCATTCCCACACTGAATTTTGGGATGTGGGAAAACTCGACTGTAAACTCACGGTGCTAAATGTCTTCCACCCTCTCCATCTAGCAAGAGGAAGGCTTTCCAGATGTTTGAAGTTCTGCTTTAAAGCCCAGCCACCCTTTCCATCCTGAATACCCTAAAAAATGACATAATGACCTACCTGTCATCCCTGACAGGCAATGCAACTGGTTACCTGCCCTCTTGTCTGGGTGGGGGGAGCGTGGTAAGGCATCTCCATACAGTGGAAAGAATCCAGTTCTGGAACAGCAGTTTTGGAGTGGGTTGATCTGCAGGGGTCTCAAATTCCCCAGCAGGACAAAGATTCCCATTTGGAGGGACAGTTCCACATGAATGACAGATGCACTCTCATTAACGGTACCAGTTAATTTCACCTATCCCCCTTCCTTTACCTGCAGCTTAGGTTAATCATTCCAGGGTGGTGGGGGAAGCTCAGGGGCCGTTTCTTCTTGGATCTAATTATTAACTACAGTGTTGTTTGTTCCGGGTCTCTTAAGATACCTGTTAAAATCACTCAACCTTTATGGTTACCTTTTCAGTTTGTTCTTACGGTTTTTTTCCTTTTTGCTTTGATCTATTAAGACTCATTTTTGCTTTTCGTGTGTGTTTTTTTTTTAAATCAAACTGTCTTGTTCTGTGTCGTCATGGTTTTAAGCTAGTTTCACTGCACCAGTTAAAAGCAGAATATCCATTCTGACAGCTACGTTTATATATATCTTGAGGCTTAGTGTATATATGAGTAGTTTGCCATGGGATAACACAGTGTAAAACAGAGTAGAAAACCCAGAAATCGTGACTTCTGTGTTCTCTCCATTTGAGTATTTTGTAATTTTTTTGAAATATTTGTGGACATAAATAAAAACCAAGCTACACTACGGCAGTTGGATTTTGTTTAACAAGCGGTGTGCGTGCGTTCCTGGGCAGAGTGCGGCCCGTGAACTGTAGCTCTAGATGGATTGAAAGGCAGTGCCCGCCAACCGAGCTGGCGGCTCCAAGGAAGCAAAAGGAAGGTGGCTTCGTCTCGCAGCCACGAAGAGGCTGTTGTACCAGGTAAGGCTGTGCGGTGGGTGTGATTTCTGGCCCCACGGGGGCCACACCAAGGGATGCGGACAGACGGATGGCAAAACCGTGCCGTCCGCTGGAAAGTTCCCCCGGACAAGTTCCCATTGAAACAAACCGCAGCAGGCTTGCAGTGGGGTTGTGCCCATGGTTCAAAGGTGTGTGTAATGAGTGGGAAGGAAGGAAGGAAGGAATGCAGGCTGTTTCAGGTGCCTGCACACGGAGGTGCACTATCCCCGCAGTCCTGTGAGGCAGGTCAGCCTCGGGAGGGCGGCCTGGGGCTCAAGGCCGCGCGGCTCTGGGCAAGGGGAGGGCGGCGCCGCAGGGCCTCGTCTGCCTCGTCTGCGGGCCTCCTCCCTCCGCGCGCGAGCAGGTGGGCCGCGCAGGTGCCGCGGGGCGCGAGGCGCCTGCGCGGGCGGAAAGGGCGGGCCGGAGGGCGCCGCCCTGCAGGTGCGCGGCACGTGAGGGCGCGGCAGGAGCCCCGCCGCCTCGTCCCGCGGCCCCCGCTCCTCGCAAGGGCCGCTCGGGCGTAGCGGTTCGCGCCCCCTCCCCGAAAGGAAGAGCCCCTTGGAAGGGACCTCGGCCGGGCGGCCCTCCCGCGTCATTGATGGCGGCGGCGGCGGCGGCGGCGACCATTTTGCGGAGCCCGCCTAGGCCCAGCCGCGCCTCGCTGCCTGGGGTGAGTCCTCGCGCTCGAGTCTCTCCTCTGACTCCCAAGGGGCTTTTGGGGCGCCGGGGTTGCCTTTTGGGGGGTGTGTGGGGGGGGGGGGGGGGGGGGGGGGAGAGGCACTCGCAGTTGGGCAACCGGCTCTTCAGCGAGACGGCCGTAAAGCCGCTTTCGAGGACTGTCGAGGACAGTAATGATTAACCGCCTTTGTTATGCTTGTGCTGGCGTCGTTTGTATCTGGAACCCCGGGGGGGGGGGTGCACAGTCGACTGCTGCTCCTTTCTGTTGTTCTCACAACGACCTTGCGAAGTAGGCCAGGCTGGGTCAGGGGGTGGCCCACAGCCGCCCTGTGCGTTTTGTTGGCGGGTGGGGCCTGGAGCCCAGAGCTCCCGAGCCTCAGGGCAGCGCTGTTCACCGCTCAAATACAGTTTGCAGTTTCTCCTGTCCCCTTCCCACTTCTTCCCCCCACCAACACTGCTTTCTCTTCTTTCACTCCTGCTGGAAAACTTCCCCCACCCCAAGCGGTTCAGTTTGAAAGAAATGACTGCATTGGCATTATAGGGTTCTCTGGGGAACTGGCAGCCCCATTGGGCCCAGCGGTGCCTCTGGCTGGGGCAGTGACATCATGGCCTCCCTCCCCGCATCCTATCCTCAGGATTGCCAGTTTCCTTTGGGTTTAGCTGCAGAACCGCAGCTGTCGGCGGCCGTCTTTGGCTAGCTGCGTGGCAGGAGTGGCTGCAGGGACGGGCATCACTGAACCCTCATTTCTTTGTCTGCAAGAATGCAAGTGCTCATAATTCAGACTGAAGGCCCACGGGGTTACTTGATGCCCACGTACACCTGTGCGTGTTGATAGAAAAAATAAGTACTAATAACCCAGAGCATTCCCCAGCCAGCCAACCAAGAGTTTGAAGACGCTTTTCTGTCTAAACAGGCAGAGGATTGTGCCTTAATTTACCAAAACACATCCAATTAATTTCTTTAATTGGATGACAGTTACGGTCCTACTCCACAGCGCTCTTCTGGGCAAATGCCACAAATGGAAAACTCTCCAGAGATGATGGCAGAGAAAAGAAAGGGGAGGGTTGTGATGTTTGAAGTGTGAGACAGACTTCTGAGATGAGACTAGCTTCTTTGAGAGACACTCCTCCTAAACCTGCTTAAAGCAGGGGAAGGCCCAAAGCCAAACCATTATGGTTTTAATTAAAGAATCTTGAGCCCAGGAACTGAAGGGCTCTGACAGTCTTTCCCCACAAAACTCATGCCTTGTTCTCTTCCTTTCCGCCTATTAGGGTGCAGGAAGCCAGAAATCCTTGCTACCCACTGTAGAATGGCCAGAGATCTGCTCAGATCTGCTTTCTGTTCAGCTCTGCCTTGTGAGTCAGGCCTAGAAAGGCAAGGTCTTCCCAAGACAATTTCTGGCCTAAGGCCACTCAGCGAATGGTGACCCATCCCCTAGTAGAGCAAACATGTAGTAGAGCAAAGGTCAATCAAGTTATTTGGGCCTCTGATGAGACAAAACCATGGAAGCGCTTCCCATGATCATGACAGTAAAAATACAGATGATTAAACAAAAACATTAAGTAACTCAGAATGTGACCCGCAAGATCAACTGGGAGGGTCTGGTGCTCCATCCCTCTGTCATATTGCCATCGGTTGATCCGGGGATGCTGCTCTTGAATTTGAAAGCAGTGGAAGTGGCCCAGAGGGCTGGTCCCCTCCAAGACACAGCTGCATTCTTGCATTTGCCAGTAGGCGGCAGCATTGGCTAAAGAAAGAGCCTGCCGCTTGGGTTTCAGTATTCAAACTATAGGCTCACCCTTGCTTTCCTACTCCAAAGTAGGCCTCCATATACACTTGCTTTCTGGTTTGCACCCCTCTGTCCCACATACCCTTCTTTGCTAAGATACGCACCTCGCCCCTATGTAGGGGAGAAGGAATTACTGGGGTGAAGATTTAAATTTCCTCTTCTTGTACCTGGCAGTCCTGATAATGATCCAGGATCCCACATTCTTATTCTAGATTAAGTAAGAAAGAGAGGATCCCCTCCCCACTGCATGTTCAGTGCACTGTCATTTTGATATGCACATGCAGCCTTTAACACATCTGCATTCCAGGGGAAAGACCTGGAGTCTGCTCTACAGCTTAAGTAAACCATGATACATAAATTTGTGCAGGAGGATGATGGGGGTTGTTGTTGCTGCCGCCCTGTGAGCTGAGCTCCCTATCTGGCACCAGTCCTGTCAGGATGGGGACTTCTTTTCTGTTGTGTATTGCTTGCAGTCATATAGCAGGAGGGGTTCTGTGGTCTTAACTACCTGAATAATGGCTCCAGTGTGTGGGCTTGTTCTGCAAGAATAATGAAGGTGGCTTGTCATGAAGTTAAGCTCTGTCACAGATTCAGGCAGGTTGCTCTTCCAGCTCACCTGGAATTGTGTCGGGGAAGATATGGATAATTACTGGAACTCTGGCAGTGGATGCTTATTTGAGTGGGGCACCTATTCTGAGTTTTATGGGGATTTCAGGTTGGGGGACTTGGTTTGAGGATGGTGTACAGAATCCAGTAGAGGTCCCATAAAGCTCAGAATAAAAGCTGCAGTGGATAAGCAGTACCACTGGCATAGGAATTGCTAGCCTCCCCTGGGAAAAGCAGTACTTGTGTTCAGTCTGCAAAAGACGTTGGCTCAATTGTGCCTTGGCTAGACAGACTCCTGCTGGCCATGTTTAACTAATGCGCCCATTCTTTTATTCTGGTGCGTTGCTTCAGCTGGCTGAGAAAAGGCGTGCTGGAAAAGATGTGTTCTTGGCCTTGTGTGCTAAGCAGTGTGCAAAGGAGGCTAAAACAGGTGCTTTTTGTTGGACTAAACCACCTTTACCTGCGAAATGCAATCCCTGACTTTGACCACAAGATGGCAATGCTGTCTATGTTTTGGTATTCCAGCAGTGCTATGTAAGAGTTGTTAAATCTTTGTCAATTAAAATCAGGGGCAGCTTCCTGGGGTGATTAGGGAACAGTTAATCATGTAGAAGGAGTAAATAGTTATTTACTGTTTCAGAGAAATAGTTTTGTGCAGGAGAGTTTCCAATCGGCAGCTTCCAGTCTGCAAGAGACAGCGATTATGCTCCTCCAGTCCTGAGTATAGGATGCTTAGGGGCACTTCCCATTGTTCCCCCAGTCCTCCCCCCCCCAGTAAAAAAAAAGCTTCTCTGGGGTGGTTATCTGAGGGACCAGAAAAACAGTAGTCTTTGCTTCTGCTGTACACCCCCCCATTGTGCAATTTCAATATAACACCTGTCCTGTGATTTCATATCATGACTGTTCATTTTATTTCCTTGCTTCGAAGGGGTGCAGAGTAAAGGGGAAAGTTGCAGCTCGGGGCTTCACTGTCCACGCTCAGTCTTCGTTTTTCCCCAAAGCGGCCAATGCAGCTTGTGCGTTTCGACCTAGAGAGCTCTGTGGGGGAGCTCCTGGGAACGGGAGGGCCTCCCCTTTCCAGCTTGTCCTTGTAAGATGGTTCTTGACAGCCGCACTTTCCTGAACGTGCTTGTCTTAAAACAACAAGAAGGATTTGCTGTCTGGTTTAATTGGGGGTAGCCTTTTAGCCAATCAGAATTATTTGTGGATTGATTGAGAGTTTAAACCAGCCTCAGGCCTGGGGGCCAAATCCCTCCCTCCTGGGTTTGTCCAAACCTGCTGAGGTTTCCTTGGTGCCCACACCCCTTTCTGTGAACCTTGCTTGGTAGTTTCTCAGCATTTGTGCATCTCCCCTCCTGGCTTCATTTTAAACGGTTGTAATACCTTTCCAAAGGCTCAGTTTACCAAACCAGCTTACTCCTAAACCAGTAGGAGGAGGTTTAAGCTGCCACATATGAGTGATTTTGTCCTTGGGGACCCGCCTCTTTTGTCCTCCTCCACAAATGTGGCCTGTGGGCACTTCTCGAGAACTGAACTGGCGGAATGAGGTTCCTGAGCGCCAACCAGGGATGGCAGCCGTCAGGCCTGAGCAGCCTCGCTGCCCTTCTCAGAGGAACAGGGCTAGCAGGATTCCCCCCTGGGCCGCTGCACATGTTTGGCCTTCTCTTGGAAGTGCTCTTCCGAGTCTCTCCCTGCATCGCCCCTGGACCATATGGGGGGGGCGGAGCTGCTGT